AAAAAAAAAAAAAATTTACGAACAGTTCTCGAGACAAACAATACCGAAATTAAACGAAAAGTTAGATTTTTATTAACTCTGAGACACCAACAAGAGATTACGATAATGTTGGATCAAAAAAAAAAAAAAGAATTTTTATAATTAATAATTAAATTATTTCCAATTGCTTGGAGACAAGTTTTTTTAAAAAAAAAAATCTTTTTTGCAGAATCATGATCGGAACCATGATCGAAACAGCTCAGCTAATATTACTCATAACGTCTTTGGCGGAGACTCGAACGATTTTAGACATATTTAGCAGTTACAAATTACCGAATAATATTTTGAACGGAGAGGAGGCGGTCAAATACGATTTTATCATAGTTGGTGCCGGATCCGGTGGATCTGTGCTGGCCAATCGGCTGTCCGAGAACAAACGATGGAATATCCTTCTGCTGGAGGCTGGAGGTACCGAGAATTTATTGATGCAGGTCTCACCGTTTTCGGTATTGATGCAATTGTCACCCTTTAATTGGGGCTACAAGGTGGAGCCCCAGGAACACGCCTGTTTAAGTATGATCGATCGACAATGCGCTTGGCCACGGGGAAAAGTCGTAGGCGGGACCAGCTCGATCAATTATATGATCCATACACGGGGAAATAGATTGGATTATGATCGTTGGGCTGCGATGGGGAACGAGGGTTGGTCTTATCGGGACGTGCTGCCTTACTTCAAGAAGAGCGAGAGATTCAACGTTCCAGGTAATATTGGAAAAATATGTATTATGTAACGTATCCAAACTTCGATCAATTTATTCAAGTCTTAAATTTTCAAAGAGTTTTAGAATCTCGTGCTTTGCACCCGCGTTAAACCGTTTCACGTTCGAGCAACAATAATTAACAGCACGTAGCTAAAAGTGAAACAGATAATAAAGTGCTAATGTTATTTCTATGCCGACAAAAAAAAAAAGAATTTCCAGTAAAATTGTATAACTAAAAAAAAAAAAAACAAAATCTGAATTTTTCATTAGAAATCTCTTCGTCAGAATCTTCGAAACGAAAGATTTTATTTCTAAGAAAAAAAAAAAAAAATAATATATATATTTTATCTCTCGAGGAAACAAAAATGAATATAATCCGCGTGAATAAATCTCGAATCTCGACACAAAATTTCACGAATTAAAAACTTGGCACGTATACCGCGAGGCGCATAATTAAGCGGCATATTCATGTCCAGGCATCGAGAACAGCTCGTATCACGGTTACAATGGCCGTTTGTGCGTCGAGTACTCCCCATACCACTCGGAAATAGCGAAAGCTTTTCTGAAGGCGGGCGAAGAATTCGGTTACAAGACGGTCGACTACAACGGCGAGGAGCAAGTCGGTTTCTCCTTCATCCAAGCGAACTTGGACGCTGGGGTCAGGTGCAGCGCCGCGAAAGCTTATTTACTGGTGGACAGGCCGAACCTGAACATCGTGACGGGGGCAAGGGTGACGAAAGTTTTGATCGACGGGAAACGAGTTTACGGTGTCGTATACGCGAAGAACAAACGTTGGAAGAAGGTGTTCGCGACGAAAGAGGTGATCCTCTCGGCCGGCACCGTGGACAACCCTAAACTGTTAATGCTGTCCGGGATAGGGCCCAGGGAACATTTGGAGGAATTGGGTATCAAAGTGGTCCAAGACTCGAAAGTGGGTTACAACGTGTACGATCACTTGGGTTTCCTGGGCGTCTCGTTCACGGTGAGGAACGTGGTCACGCAGTCGAGGAAGAACCTGAACAAACCTGAGGTGTTACTGGATTACGTTTTGAACAGGAACGGCTTTTTATCGTCCATCGGAGGACCGGAGGGAATAGCCTTCGTCCGAACCAAGTACGCGACCGACAGCAGACCCGATCTCGAGCTGTTGTTCATCTCCGGAAGTTTGAACTCGGACGATGGAATTTTGAGCGAGGCGATGAGAGTGAGGAAGGACGTGCACGAGGCCGTGTTCGAGTCGTTGGGGGATAACGAGACCTGGACGATCTGGCCGATCATGCAGCATCCCAGAAGCGTTGGAAGGATCAGTTTGAGATCCAAGAACCCGTTCGATACGCCAAGATTGGAGCCAAACTTTTTCTCAGACCCGCTCGACGTGGAAATTATCTTGGAGGGGGTTAAAATCGCTATAAATATATCGAATTCGAAAGCGTTCCAAAAATACGAGAGCAGGTTGCATCATGGAATTGTGCCGGGTTGTAAGATATTCGAATTTGGAAGCGACGATTACTGGAGATGCGCCATCAGACACCTGCCATCTATGATGAATCACGAGATAGGCTCGGTTAAGATGGGACCGAGAAGTGATCCCGACGCTGTGGTGGATCCACGGTTGAGGGTGTACGGTGTTCGGGGATTGAGAGTTGTGGACGCGTCTATAATGCCGACTATACCCGTTGGACACGTGAATGCGGGTATTTATATGATAGGCGAGAAAGCGGCTGATATGATTAAACAAGAGTGGCAGATCGGATATGAGAATTAGAATCACAGATTTGTATGTTTTTTATATTATATTTTATATGTATTTTATATTAAGTCTTATAATAATTAAGAGTTTTACAAGAGTTTTATCAAAGTTATAAATGATTGGTATTATAGGGAATATAATAGAAAGTAATAATTTTAATTTTTCATTGTAACGTTTCTCGATGTTCAAATTATTTTAATTAATTATTTTAATTAATTGTAAATTTATTATTTTATCTTTATAACTATTTTGTTACACTACTGTCTTGTGAAAATAAGAATTTTAATAAAAACTGATATTACGTTGAAAAAAATGATGCAAGTAAATGTTTATTGAATGTATTTTAATGGAAAAATATTAAAATAACATGATCAAAATAGATTAGTTATATTTATTTTTATTCAAGATTACCAGAATATGATAATATAAAACTATTTTAAAATAATTTCAATGATAGTATCTACTTCTTTCATCATATTTTTAATTTACTAGTTTTTCCTTTATTTATTATGTTCTAAAAATAATATGTTAAATAATTTTTTTAAATAATTTTTCTTGTAAAGTAATTTCATTTTAATTGCAAATAGAAAAACGAATTGAATGAAAAAAATCGTGAGGAAGTATTAATCATTTCGATGATAAAATTGACACGATTCAGGAAAATAATATTTTTATCGATATATTGCAAAAAAAAAAAAAGAAAAAATATTTCAATTTCACGTTTCTATTTTATAAGAATAAGAACAAATGACAATAAATGTTAAATTTCATGTTTCTATTTTATAAAAATAAGAACAAATGACAATAAATTTTAATATTTTTAACAAGATCATTTTAGCTCGAATGTTAAATTGATTTAATAAAACATTATTTTTTATAAAGTAAAAAAATAATAAAAAAATAATAACTATATGTTTGAAAATAAATAATAAACTATATGTAATTCTATTTTACACTATGAATAAAAAGACATATTCATATAAAATATCCCATCTTCCATAAATTAAAATAATCATAAATATTAAAAAAAAATTCCATATCAAATCACCAAAGAAATTAAATAACTTCGAATTATTAATTATTAATTATTCCTTCGGACAAGCAATATATTAATTAATGTCATTTCAAAGGCATTTTTCTAATTAAAAACATCGTATAATGTCATCAGAAAAAATAATTCCATTTTGCTACGATAGAAGATAACAAATGATTTGCATGCGATAATGTATCATGCAACAATCAGATGACCTACATACTTGTTCATTTCCAATAAAAGCGAATTCTACGTGGAATACTATCAACGAGTTCATCAATGATACGAGGAATATAGGAGAATGATTCATATTTCTTCGTTCAATATACTTTCGCGAAATATTAGAGAAAAATGAACAATCATTAATTTTATTCACAATATTCTCAACTAATTTGTATTTATAAAAAAAAAAATATTTATGAAATTATAAGAAAATAAAGAAATTAAAAAAATAAACATGATTCATAAAATTTTAAAAAAATTCTAAAATAAAAAATTCTTACAGCTAATAACATATTGTTTGTCTTTTCAGAAATAGATATTTGGATTATTAATCTGGTGATCCTATTTCCAATTGCCTGAGTTGAACTAAATAAGTCTTCATATAAGTTTATTAATTTCACCTTGAGATTATTTAACCTAATGTTATTTGTTCAATATTTAATTTCTCATAAAATTAATGTATTTTGATTTAGAAATTATTTGAAATAAATTATAAGTAATTTTAATTATAAATTATCAAAATTTGAAACAATATAGCTATTTATATTGTATCAAATAAGTGATAAATTATATTTATACAAACTAAAAAAAATATCAAGCTTTAAGATCAAGATTACATCAAAATAGTAGATATTTTTTATATAAATATCAATATATTATAATACAATATCGTAATCGATCAGAATAAATATAATGACATAACCTTAAAAAATGACCTTGAAAACGAAATCTAAATTAAAATTAAATCAATGTAAAAATAAAACAAGACAAGAGAAATAATCTAATCAGTTTATTTTATCAGATATTTATATATAAAAGTTAATAATGAATTTTGAAATAAGACAAACTCAACAACCTCTAAGACAACTTCGAGAGATTTTTTTTATCATTTTATACTTCGAAAATATTTAAATCATTTTTAGTCATTCTTTATGTTTAATAGTAGCAATAATTTAAATATTTGATTTAAATAATATATTTTATATATTTTATATATCAAACATAAAACCGATATTAACAAGTATTCTGTCAAATGATTAAAATTAATTGTCCAATTAATTTTACAAATGTAAATTTTATATACAAATAACACCAAAGCACCAATCTTAGATAAGTTAAATAAGAGTTAATGTTATTTTACCTATAACCAATAACAGAAGCTTTCAAAAAGAATCAAGCGTGGCAGCTCTAGGTTAATATATCGCAACGCTTGATTAAACCACGAAAAATACCTATTTTTTATTTATCTACATACCTGATACAACGAGAGCTTCGTTTGGACCACAAGTATGAACGTTTCCCATTGTCAGTTTAACTTTTTCTTAATGAAGATACAACAACAAACCGGCACAAGCAAACAACTAGCACTAACACGATTATCACTGACACTAATCTATACAATAAATAGGCAGTGATGAAATATCTATTATTTCAAAAACCCCGGTATATTATTAATAACATGCAACAACCTGTATTACTCGCGCGTCGTAAGGTTACGATGTTACTCAAAGCCACTACCCAAAATTATTTGTAGCTTTTGCAAAACCCTAGCTTGTAGCATTACCAACCTATAATCTTATACATGTAGCGACATCTTTTCATATTATAACATTTATTTCAAATTTAAAGTTAATTTATTTTATAAAATTTTTTGACAAATAATCAGATAATAATAATTTTATTGAAATTATAAATAATATATTTATATAATATTTGAAATATTATTACTTATATATTATTAATAGTTATAATAAATGACAAATTATTTTATCGTATAATAAATGCATTTCAATAACATCTCCACTTCGTATAAAAAATTATTTATAAAAACTTAAAAAATAACATATTCCTATAATTTTAAACTATTTTTCTTTTGAAATAGCTACATAATTATATTTTTCTTTAATATAATATCTTTTTTATTTAAGATGTAAAAAAAGAAAGCTTTTTAAAAAAAATAATTTTTTTTTCATTAATAAATAATTGTAACATAAACAAAGATTATATGACGTATTGTATATTTTTAGGAATAATTTTTAATGTTTTACTACGTATAATGGTAGTATTGCTCAGGTACAATCAAATGAATGCAGTTCAATTTTGTGAGAACGCAGCATAACATAACCTCTTAGTTCTACTGTTGTTTTGATCTTGATTATTACATGGAATTTAGAATGTAATAGATTTGATAAAATAACAATTATAAAGATTTTCTTTTAAATATAATATTAATAAACATTGATAAAATGTCAGAAGACGAAGTAGAAAGTTTTGAAATCACAGATTACGATCTTGAAAATGAATTCAATATTAATCGCCCTAGGCGTAAATTGTCAAAAAAACAACAAATGCTTGGTAAATATTTTATTTTAATATTATTATATTAAATATTATATTTGTTTAAAATATTATTGAAGAATTTTTTTTTCATCGTAATGAGTTGCAAAATCTAACCAAAATATTATTTTAGGTATTTGGGCTGATGATAGCGATGAAGAAGAATTATCTGCTAGACCATCATTTAAAACTTTTGATAAAGGACCAAAGAATTATACAACTCCTGTAAATTTTGTAGCAGGAGGTATTCAACAAGCTGGAAAGCCAAAAGAAGAAACAGACGATAAAGATGATGATGAAAGTGATAATGAAAATATAAAATCACAAAAGGAATTTCCAAATAGTTCAAGGTATATTTCAAAGATATTAAAATTTTTATTATTTATATAATATATAATATATTAATATTATGAATAATAAACTATATTTTTGTTTATAGTTCTGATGATGAAAGACCAAATTCTATACATCAACGTGCATCATTCTCATTAAATACAGATGGAGATATTGCAGGTTTACGTAAAAAGAAGCATAAAGTAAATCCCTTATTAATGCAAAGTGGAATGGGTAGTTGGGAAGTTTATACAAAAGGTATTGGAGCTAAATTGTTGCTACAGGTATATATTAAATGGTAATAATTTTATTAATACTATTATATAAATATATCTATATTTATTAATATAATAATAATTTAGATGGGTTTTGAACCGGGAAAAGGATTAGGTAAACAACTACAAGGTATAAGTACACCAGTAGAAGCACATTTAAGAAAAGGTAGAGGTGCAATTGGTGCTTATGGACCAGAAAAAGGTCCAAAAGTTCCAGAAAAGAAAAAAGAAGATGAAATAGATGAAGGAAAAGAATCGAAAACTAAATTATCACAATGGAGAAAAGATGGAGGTACTGTTAAGAAAAAAGTAAATTATATATATCGAAGTGTAGACCAAGTTTTGGAGGATGGAAAATTGAAACCTAACAAAAAAGTAAGAATATCCAATGAAATGAGTAAAGTTAAAGTTATAGATATGACTGGACCAGAACAAAGAATTCTTAGTGGATATCATGCGATAGCTGGAGGTCAACAACGACCTGATGAAAATGTTGTTACTGATAAAAAATCTAAAGTTAATTTTGCATTGCCTGAACTACAACATAATTTAAATATACTTGTGGACATGTGTGAACAAGATATTATACAAAATGATAGAAGAACACGACATCTGAGTGATAGGGTGGTTGCACTAGAAGCAGAAAAGAAAAATTTATCTAAAGTTATAGATCAACATAGTCAGTTAATAGATACATTAGAAAATGTTCTTGCAATTGTAGACAGATTGATGGATGAAACCAATCAATTAACATTACAAGAAACTGCAGATGCTTTCAAAGATTTACAAGATAAATATTATGAAGAATATAAAATGTATGAACTTGGTGAATTAGCTAGTAGTTTTGTTGGTCCAAAAGTAAAAGATTGTTTAATTAGTTGGAATCCATTAATGCAACCAAAACAACCAATTAAATTGTTTGAGCAATGGAAAAGTATTTTAGAAAGTGGTACTACTACTCTTCAAACAAGAACTATGCATCCATATGATCATCTTGTTTGGAATTCATGGATGCCTTCAATTAGAGGAGCTATTCAGTAAATATTTTATTTATAAAAAATTATTAATTAATCATTAATATATTTATTAATTTTTATATATATAGTAATTTTTATTATATTTTTTTATAGACAGTGGACATGTAGGCAACCTGAACCACTAATAGAATTAATAGAACATTGGATGCCACTTCTTCCAAATTGGATATTAGAAAATATTTTAGATATGTTAGTTCTTCCTAAACTTACCTTAGAAGTAGAAGAATGGAATCCTCTTACCGACACAGTACCTATTCATACATGGATTCATCCTTGGTTACCACTTTTACGTATGTATATATTTAAAAAATTGTTAATAATTAATTTTTAAAATACAAAAATTATTTAAATATTTACATATTGTTATTATTATTATAGGAAATCGTTTGGATACTTTAATATATCCAATAATACGACGTAAATTAGGATCTGCATTAGGTGGTTGGCATCCGTCCGATAGATCTGCTAGATTAATGTTACAACCGTGGGCTAATGTCTTTGCAAAAGGAGATATGGAAGCCTTTTTGGTGAAAAATATCATTCCAAAATTACAAATAGCACTTTCGGAATTTGTTATAAATCCGCATCAACAACATTTAGATCAATGGAATTGGGTATATGAATGGAAAGAGTTAATTCCGTCTCATATAATGGCAGGATTGTTAGATAAATTCTTCTTTCCTAAATGGTTACAAGTTTTAGCTCTTTGGTTAAATCATTCACCTAATTATGATCAAGTTACAAATTGGTATATGGGATGGAAAGGCATGTTGAGTGAAAAAATATTGGCTGAACCGCTGGTAAAAGGTAAATGTAATAAAAAATATTTAATTTATAGTAATGAATAAAATCATAAATTTATGTTTATACATTCATTGATTTGCAGAACATTTTAAGAAAGCATTAGAATTGATGAATAGAGCAGTTTCTGTGCCACAAAGTCATCAACCGGGTGCGATGGAACAAGTTTCGTATTTAACGAGTTTAGAAAGAACGCAACCTACTATGTCACAGATGCCTCCAACTGCACAACCAAGAATGGAGGTATGATTTAGGATATTATCAATAATAGGTTAATAATATATTATATAATAAGATATCTTTTTTTTTTTACAGAGACTTGCAGAAGCAGTTAGAACAGCATCACAGATACCTCAAGGTTTTAAAGATCTTGTACAAAAGAAATGCGAAGAAAGAGGTATTTTATTTATGCCAATACCAAATCGCTATAGGGAAGCAAAACAAATTTATAAAGTGGGTAATGTTCAAGCTTATATAGACGGAAACGTTGTATTCGTTTGTCATAATGGTATGAATTGGATGCCGACGCACTTAAATGCTTTATTAGACATGTCTGAACTTTAGAAATAATTATAATCGCAAATATGTACGTTTAATTGTATACATATTTACATATCTTGTACATATATTGTAAAATATTTTATAATATATGATATTGAAAAAAATTGCATTAGATAATATGCATAACAAATAAAGTCAAATATAATTTTTTGTATATTTGAATTCACTACAATTTTTTTAAAACCTTTATGATCTATCTAATATAATCTGTCCTAATAACATATATAGATGTGCAATTAATGTCATATAATAGCAGAAGTTTTAATACTTAAAAGAGAAATTGTGTTCAAGCATTTCCAACATACATAACAAAATTTATTTATTTTGTTATTTATATATTTATATATTTATTTTCTTGTTTCTTTGTAGAAATCTTTCAACCAATCTTAGAAATTCTTTTTTCTGTACATTTATAACTGTATGCATTATAGTTACGAGACGTTATATCGAGGCGCTCCATCTGAAACATTTCTACATGTTTCGTGCAAGGAGAGAACATCTCTTTTCTTCGATAGTACTCCCGGCATTCACGTTTCACGAATGCAGTCTTACGTTCGTGAATGTTTGTCTTATTGACCACTTCTGTTCAAAGCAGTCGAAGTCGAACGCGTGTAGGCGCCCCTGGTTATCCTACTACTGAGGCGCAGCTATAAAACTCCTCAATATGGAAAGTTGCACGTGATCCTGAGGAGTCGTACGTATGTACCTACAGAGTCGTCCAATAGGCACCGTGTATTAACTACTACGATGTGTGCCGATCCTGTGTACCAACCATGGGCGCCACCATGCATAAGGCATATAGATTCCATGCTTTACACGATACGGATCTTATTTGCAATATGACATTATGATAATTTTTGAAATAAATGTTTTTATAAGATAAAGATATATGTATATTATATAAGAATTAAGAAATTTAAATTTTATAAAATCATTTACACATGGTAAATAAGTTATTTTAAAAATTAATTTAAATATTAGAATTCAATTTAATTATTCTAATTATACTGGAATACATAGAATTAAAAATCATTTATATAATTATTATAAAAAAAATATATTTAAAAAATATTTATATATAGAGTTTCTATATATCATGATTGATGTCATGATTTCTATTTGTTTTTATAATAATAAATAATTAATAAAAATATTAAAATAATAATAAATAAGCATTTCAATAATAGATTTAAATCTTTAAAAAATTTAATTTTATCCCAACTATAGATTCTCGACTTTTCTCTTTTCAATCATTATATACATATTTTCTCAAGTGAACAATTACAAGTGCAGTCAGTCGCAACAACCTAAATACTTAATAGTCCAAACCATACAAGAAATATAAAGCTATTTTTACATTTCTCAATTGAATCATGAGTTTGATTCTAGGTGACGCCTATGGCACCACTACCAATGACTTCGCGTCTCATACGCGTAAAGGACTGGTCCTGTAAGAGGATGGACATCTCTCGCCTACACGCCTAGCAGATCTGTGCTCTCGGGTGTCGAGAAAATTTGCATCGGATCGGAGTGTCTGCCTAGTAACTGGCTGCTTTTACTACAACGGCTCGCGCGACTTGAGATTCGAGAAATGCTTCTGCACTCTCCTCTTCTTCTTTCCTTCGTTCATTGTGTGCGTATTCACGATATGCATATTTACATGCACACGAGGCGAGCACTTGTCGAACTGCCTGCCAGATCTTAACGTCTATCGTACCATTCGTACCGATTGTACGAAAGGCAGTCGAGGTGAAGTTGTCGCCTCACGAAGGAAAATATTGGACCATTCGCGTTAGAAAAATAAAATAACATGCATGGGAAAGGATTGAATCGCGTGTGCGTTGCCGGGTATTTTTCGAAGTGTTTGTAATATTTTTCGAGCATTTGTCGATTTTTATCAAAGACAAAGCGGTCAAATACAGATATTTATCATTGGTTTTTCGCGAGTGATATTAGATTTTACAAAATGTCATTTGATCATTGGATAATATGTGAACGAATATATTAAGAAATAGAGAGTATTTTTTTATATGAAGTAGATTGTTAATAAAAATATACATACATTTGCATGATCGAAAATGATGTTCTTTGGATCTGGTTTATATTTGATTCATTTTTATTCATAATTAGATTATAATAAATGCTAATTACTATATTTTTTAATATTAAAAAATAAAAAATATATTTTTACATACATATGTATGTATACTTATTTTTTATTCTATTTCAGGAATAAAATCAAAAACCTGTTCTATTCTCATTAATTAAATACATGTGTATCTCTAATTATGAATAATATATTTATTTATGCTGCTTCTATTTTAAACTATAATTATATGTATATAAATTTATTTATTTATATAATTATTAACTATTTATAATATATATATTAACTATTTATTAATATCTTTACTATTAAATAATAATATTTATTTATATAAAACATACGTAATATTACGAAATTTTTCAAAATGAAAATATAGTAAAAGCATTGCTGTTAATGAAAATGAATAACAGAATTATAATTTTTAGGATAAATTTAAGATATAGTAACAAAATTTTTTAATAAGTAAAAAAAATCAACTCAAAATATTTGATAAATTATAAGTAGTAAATATTCTAAAGATTAATGTAGATACAATTTGAAGAAAGTGAGGTTACCTGAGCGAGGCAGCCACTTAATGGCAGTACCATTCAGATTGTGCTATCGCGGTGAATGAAGTCTCTTTCGATAACAGGTGAAAGAGTAAGCCAATATCACGACCCTCGCATTTTTATCCGATATTTTTCAAGAATTGATATTTCCTGGAACAAAGAATAATAATATTCTACTTAGAGTTATATATAAATGATTTTTTTGTGATTAATTAAAATAAGTGATTATTTTTATAAAAATATTTAATATTTGTTAAGTTTGTTTCTATAAACAAATTTTGAATAAATCAAAAAACGAAATATAATTTATAAATATAAAAATATAAATTTAAAAATTTTAAAAATTAACGATCATAAATAAAATAATATATTTCTATAAGTATTACATAGTAAGATTTATTTTTTTTGTCATTAGTTTCTATTTCTAATCACATAAGTATAAATTACTGACTGCCATATAGCTTTCAAAAACTAACTAATAATTAAGTTCTGTCGCAATAAATTTGCTTTTCTAGATATAACTTATTTAAAAGATGATATGCATATAACATAATATTTTTTAACAAATGATACTTACACTAGAAGTTGAATCGCTCTGAAATGCGAGAGAAATTTGAACATAATGTTCGATAGATCGATTATTTATTAACATTGTTGCAATGTTCAAATAGTTTATTCGAGAGGTCGACGGCCTAGAATAGGTGGTACATTCGCAGACGTATGTTTTCAGTAAAACATGATCGCGCCCAAACATTCCAATCCCACGCAAATTGCTGTCCCTAAGTCCCTCTACGAAATACCAAATACTCATAGACGGTCAAACGTCAGAACAATTTAACAATCGTCTGGTTCCGACAATGTTCCTAAAAAAATAGAAAGTTAATAGAAAGTTATTTATAATATCAAAAGTATGTAATTAAAATATTGATTTATAAAAAAAATTATAACTAAAGATAATCTAAAATATATCGAAAATATATTTTTGAATAATTAATTTCGAATTTTTAATTTTCTAATGATAAATAAAATTAAATTTAGGTTATATTCATGTGAAATTTAGATAATATACAAATATATATATATAATATATAAATTTAGATAGTCTATAAACTTATAAAGCTTTGCATGCCACTCATTTAATGATGATAATTTTATAATATATATTTATGAAGGAATTAAATTTATGTAATACATAGATGTAAATAAATTTGAAGAATTATTTGTCAATTTGATGCGCGAATAATTATTTCAAGAAATTAACAAACGTGTGACTTATCTTCATGTCGATCATGGGCGTTGTGAGATTTACAGACAAGATTTACACGAGCTTTGCATTCTTGAAAAGCAAAAAAAAGCACAATGCCATCGCATACCGCTTTGAATAATACAACATTTAGGTTCAAATACCTTCGTTTTCTCTTCTTATAATAATGTTATAATCTCCTCTTGTAATAATATAGTATTTGAAACAAAATAATAAAAAAAAAATTATATCATTTATATTAATATTGATATAGGTTATATATCTGAAATATCTGAAAAACTATAAATATTTAAATGAAACTTTAAATGAATTGAAAAGTAAAATACTAATTAAAATATGATTTATTACTGTTAAATGTTAGAGCAATTGATGGCAAATATTATAATAATATTAAATGTCAATGAAAGGTTATGAATCTCATTAACATAATATAACATTCTACTTATTATTATTATTACATATTATTTATATGATATTAATATACAGTTATAAGATAATATAGAATATGTATAAATTCTACATAATAAATAATATATATAATAGTATTTGTAAATAGTTTAAAATGATTTCTAGGAAACAGAATACATCATTTTAAAAGTCTATTTACTTTTCTTATAAAATTTATATAGATAATAATATCAATTATATTATATTTTCACTAACTGATATGTCATAAATCATGAAAATTTGAAATCGTATAAAATAAAAGAGAAAATTTGTATCATTATATGATATTACTAGATTGGTAAACGAATACACGTGCATATAATGCATATCTATATAAGATATGCTCGACAGGCTTCCTTTAGCCTCGATCGTCATTTTGTTCTTCTTTCCATATTATCTGAAAGGCCTCCCAGGTCGTGGCTCCTACTATAATGTATCGAACCAGTATTACAGTGTTTCACGAATGTGGTTCTATACGTGTGTATGCAAGTGTCATTTATATACACTATAGAAATGACTATTCGATGTGGAACGATAGCGAGCTAAAGGATTGTTTTAGATATAAACGTCAGTATGTTTTTTATATGCATTGTTATTTCTTTCTTTGTCTTCTTATAAATATATGGAAAAAGAAATATATGTTAATAGAAATATTAATTTAAACAAATAAAAATAATTTAAATTATACAGATCATATTATGTAATATAATTATGTGTAAGGAAAAATCAAATCTTTTAAATTAGATATCGCGCTTGTATACTCGTTTATGTAGAATGTTTTAATGGAATTTTATGAATTTAATCACTTTCAAGATTGCTTGACCGAAATTCGAGAGTTTTTTTTGCATATGAATGAGTCAGAGGGGAAACGTTGGCTACGGGTGAACGAACACCAAGGGAGTACACCGGTGTATCGAAGTGAGCAACAGGTGTGACTCGTGTATCTCTGCTGGATACTTATGTGAATAATCCGGCTGGTCGATTCGTTGGCAGGTGTACATAACCGCGTTCTGTCTAGAGTTGTCTCCACGGGAAATGACGTGAATGATTGCTTTCTACGATATTATTTCGTTACACGAATCGCGTCTGATCACTATGCACGAAATGCATCAAAATTTTTATAGATTCCACCGCTAGATATCGTATCGTTCGCGGACGAAAGTTTCGATTACGTCAACTCGCAAGTTATCGACCTCTCGGCTAATTCCAGCCTATGACAACTTCAGATGGATTCAATTAATCTTCGATATTTAACGCTGACAGGTAAAAAATAAAGATATGATTACAAATTACATGAATTCAAAAAATTTTATCAGAAAACAAGTGATATTGAGAATTTTTTTCAACAGCAAGACATGGAAACTAATTAAAATTCCAAACAATAAGTAAGGATCGCTGTTGATTCGTGGTATGCACCTGTGGAGCGAGGCGAAATGCGCAGCAAGAAGAGGAACAAAAAGACAGGGTGATGTTCGACCGAACGATTTTCTCTGGTCCTTTAATCAAGAAGGAGGAACCCGTAACGACGTAGCGCGTAATGAGTAATGACATCTGGTCTGTATAGGGCGGGGCTAACAGGTCCCACGCGGTCTCCTGGTTATACATATATATTCTACGTACACTAACACTATCGTCCGGTTTCTGCTCATTTAAACACTTACGAACTCGATTTAAACGACCTCCATCCGTGCGATTGCCTCTCGTCCGCGCTGTTCGTATCGTTCGTGTAAAACTTCGTGCAGATTTATGAGATTATTTATGTGTCTAAATATGAAATAGATCTTATTTTGTTAGAAAAAGTTAATTAATTTTAATATTTAATCGAGATAACGACTTAATATTTCGAATGCAAACGTGTTTAAAATTTTTGTAGTTAAAAAGTAATTTTCTTTCTCTATTGATTGAAAATTTATTGATTTCTGTGATTATGACAAACTAAATCTTATTTCAAAAAATATATTTTTATTCCATGAATCATTTTATTCTAACTTACAAGAAGGTAAAATTATTTTATTAATAAATAACCTCAAAAGATCGAAACATACTTCGATTTTCATAGAATTTATTAGCTAACATAGCTCGGTTGCGTAATAGTTAGAAATGCATAAAACGCAATTATAAATCCATTTCATAACGCGAACTGTTAGTGCCAGATACAGACGTATACGCGTGTATATTGAAAGTGCAATATGTTCGCGTTAAAACATCCGCCTGCTAAATACGGTATAAGCGTATCTTAGAATCATACCGGGTGATACTGTTGCAGCATTTTAGCTTTGTCGCTGACATCTGAATCGTAATTGCATACGAAATATTATAGTATACGGATAAGGATTTCCTAATATAGACTAAGCTTATATGGAAAGATAAACTATCCTACATTAGGATGTCTAACGTCCTCTCTAACATCTTGTATACAAGAACAAGTCCGGTTGTGTAACGGTTTAATAGCAAAAACTATATTACCGGCATAAAAGAGCAAGAATATAATTTCTCTGCACGATTTTTCATTTGTGTTTCACGAAAATACAACTGTTGTAATATCTCTCTCCATTTTATATATTAATTATACTCTTTACAGTGAAATATTTTCCTCTAAAAAAGGATTGTAGGTAAAAGGATCGATGGATCGTATTTTTTATCGGAGGTAAAAAGATTTCTTTTCTCGACAACTTTATAGGAATCTTTGTTATCTTTTTCTCTTTTGTGTATTAAAGTTTGTGACGTAAGAACATTATAAAATTTTAGAAAGCATGTTTGACTACAATCAATGAGTCTTACGAATTTTCGAATTTACGTTACTACGATGAAGAGGTTAACTTTGTTGTAACTTCATATATATACATTCTTCTTAAAACATGTGACATTATATGTTACTTCGATTAATTTGTATCATGTAGGAATCATGTTAATCGTTTCCAGGGACAAGATATCTATGTTGGCCGAAAAGAATATACAAGAAGGAAGAGCGAGAAACTGGTCATTACGAGCGAATAGCTGCGTCGAAGTTGTGAGAACCGTGGTGCTCTGAGACGGTGTTATTAAGCAAAAATATTACACCGTTTTCAGAGCATTAACGAACAAGTTTTACAGGGGAACGTAAACCGTGGCCGGCTCATATATTAAGCTGGTTTGAATGTTCTATGAACGAATACGACAAATCCGTGCTTCGGTTCTGACCTTCTTTGGCGCGACAGCGTGGGCGCATTTACTTCAGACGGAATTACAGTCTGCACTTACTCCATCTTACCTCAGTCATTTCAGTATAAGTAACTGCAATCGTGAACCGTGACCGCTGTATCGTATCATCTGGTTTACGTAATTATACGTATGAATGCACCGTCTTGGATCGAAAGGTAATTCGCCCGGAAGTGATTCTTACGTGAGCTTGGTGGTCCTTGGTGATTACGGAATTTAGAATTCGTCGCAGCATAGGAAGAAACTGGTTTTACCTGAATCATTTCACGGTTGGGAAAATGGATCGCACATTAGCCAGGACACTGTTAGAAGTTGCCGAGTTAACTCGCAACGTTATATTAGAAAAAGTAAGAATTGAGATTTTCATGTTAGATTAAGAATAGAATATTTAAGATATTCTAAGACAAGAATTTGGAATTTTTTTCTCGTTATTTTTTTTATTAATTTTCTTTAGAATATCAGTTCAAGGAAATTTTAGGATTGATTTTTAAGGAATATTGGTAAGTGATACTTTAATTTATTGCTATGTATCGTACCTAATTACATAATAATTAATATAATATTATATATTTCAGGAGATATATATTCTTATTTTACTATGCATGTTCGCATATTAAATGGTATGTATAAATGGATCGAGCTCAAGCATTTTCCTGATTCAAAACGTTGTATCTTTGAATGGATAAATGAAATCTAATATACGGATCAACAATAAGTATAATATTATAGCAAGGAAACTTGGTTAAAAGCCAAGAAATGTAAATCACGTACATAGTTTGATCTATACGGAATCGTAATGGATATGCAAAACTAGAGTAAAGTGCCAGATACCGTTTAGTGATTCGAATAAGCATGATTCAAACTGTATTGCCTTTGCAGTCAATCACATGTTTGACTATATTATCTGCGAAGTAAGCTGTTTTCATTGAAAATCAGTATTTGTGATCTCTAATAGAATAATATCATTATAGCAAAATTATGATATTATGAACAAAAGTGATAATATTGATTTTATTTGAATTTCAGATGATTTTTTATATTTTTTGTTTATAATTCTAAATATATGATATTTGATATTTGAATTTTTATTTTTTCACATAAATATTAATCTTATAATCAAAAAATGAATTACTAAATATCACTAAATAATTATATCCAAATTTTCAATATGTACGATTTAAATATTTATTATGTCTTTTAAATCATTTTATATTAAATTGTGAAACATAAAAGTTCTAGAAAATGGATCTTTTTTTCAGAAAATTTTCTTCAATATTATAAATCATTTCAATCGTATCTATTTATCATTCGTCTCATTCATATTAAAAAGTTTTTTTCGTTTGTCGATCGAACGATCAAATCATGAGCTATTATATTAGTCACACCTATGATCGGGCAATAGAGTCGTATACAGTTTTGCTAGTTGTTCAACACGGATATCACGTTACATACGTAACGTGGAGTAAAAGTATAGATGCTTGAACTCTTATCATTTATCAACTGATTTAGCCGTCGTTGAAAGAGCTGAGCAATGTGCCTTGTTTCCCCATATAAGTATAGTGGCATGCTTATCGCATATCGAAACTCTGACACGAACTACATCTCGCAAAACTCTAAACTTGCTGTGTTTGCATAGTTACAGATTTTTATAATAGCGCGTTAGCATTGATATCGACGCAAGATAAACGGTATCTGTATTTCTCGACTCCGAAGGATCATTTCCTGTTTTGCAAGCAAATACTTGACACGTTAGCACATTGCAAAATTTTCGAAAATATATATAAATTTCGTTTCTTCATCCAGTTGGCAGACCACACTCCAATTGGAATCGAAACACTGGTTAACACATTTTCTGCAACAATTTATTACTTCTGCCGTTTATATTCGCCGCCATTTAACAGATATTTACGCCACATTAATAATGTGGTAACCGCGTGATTCTTGAAAATTTTCTCATCTGGCTGCATCGTATATGTCGTTCACAAATCATAAACACATCTCTGCGACAAAATTATGCGCTCACCTTATTCACTCGTAACGTGTAAATTATGAGCCAACAGTGGACCGGTTTTCATCGAACTGAATCCGAAACCTTATTCATTTTTTATATTTTGAATACGAAAAAATGTATGTGCAAATTTCGGATATTGGATAATATCAATTTTATGTGTTTATTCTTGGAATGATTACCGTAATTTAAATTGGAATATTTAAAATTTATATAAATTCGAATATATTTTCACTTTTCATATATACATACATATATTTATAAAATAAAAGTAATTCAGTATTAATAGAATTGTTGAATTATGTATTATTTATACTTTTTAAATTTATTTTATACTTATTCTCTAACTATAAATTCGACAATTTGTTGTTGACAAGTTTTATTAGATAGAGTTTGACGTTTCATATTAAAGTAGGTAAGTTGTACGTATGTAATTTTATTCATTTACTTAGTATTCGTAAATAAATAGTCATCAATCACGTTTCTATTTCTTATTCATTTTTCAAATAAAATTTTACATTTATATCTCAATAAATTTATTATAACTTTTTAGAATAATCTTTGTTTCTTTTTACCTTTTTAAATCGGCGTAGCCCGAAATCACATTGATTTCATTCATTGAGAGAAATCCGAATGAACGTCGGAAATGTCTCCGACGACAAGCGGTTCTCGTTCGGCGGAACCGCCCGCGCAGTACTTCGGGCGCGTCGAAGGGGGCCGAGGTTGGCCGAAGCCGGGCGAACACGGACGAATAGTCGGCTCGAATCGCGCTGCCGCGATGCATCGGTTCGAACGCGCGCACGGGCTGGCTGTCTCGCTTGTCTCCCTAGTGCGTCGTTCGAGGTTTGTCCCTTCTCGTTTCTCTATTATTGTAAATCGTGACGGCGCGGCGAAAATACGCGCGCTACTGCGACATACTATCGATATCGGCGTAATTTCATTGTAGTTTTCGACTGACGTTACGACGTTACAAAGAATGTTCGAACATTTTCTGTAAGTGAGTGACTCGATGAACTCGTTGCCCGCGTGACACTTGAATGTGATCGTCGACGCGCGTGCGTTATCCATTGCCGACACGCGGTTCGATTATCGCTTGTGACAGGTTTTCATTATGCTTGCTCGACGCTCGGAATTGTGTGCAACATTTTGACACAAACGTTGTTTGTCTATGTAGTTCGCGTGATCGTCTTGGAGGGCGCGACAGAAGAGAAAAAACGCACGAAATACGGAAGGTGTGATGTATGTGCCAATTGACAACTAACCTTTACGCGAGTGCACGCGTGTGCCGCGTGGCTATCCACGATCTGAAGTTTTCGCGGTTATACGGAGCACGCGGTTATTTGTGGCACGAGGAACTTCCTAGAGGAGAAGCTACAAAAGATTGATCAGTTGACAAAGTGGAAAACGCTTCTCCGACCAGGCCCGTTATGGATTCCTATCCGATGGTGAGTCGTTTCTTAATAATATTATCCCGCCTTTTTCTGGAAGTATGTTAATATGCTGACATTGTATTTTGTTGAAGCATGTTCGAATATTTACTAGTCTTCTTATCTTCTGTTGTGTATAAATACTAGGAAAATTTTGAAGGATTATTTAGAGTAAATTTTAACAGACAACATATGTCGATATGTCGATACAAACCAAGATATAGAATATCATTCATTTTCTAATTCGTAATTATATCGTGTTATTTAGATTTTTAATGTAATGCGCATGCGTATAATTACGTGTAACTAGATTAATCAAATTTTAAATAAATAACTATATTTATCGTAGTAATCAATTTTAAGCATTTCGGTCACTAAATTTCGTTGAATCTTGTAAAGATCGATTATCGAAAGACAAGTCGTATGCTTGCGATAAATAGAGACATTTCTTATTATTGGTAACAAGCATTCGATTGGAACAACGGAGTATTATTATGTCATCAAACACGATACGTACAATAGGCGCTTAGGGGTTGAATATTTTCATAATCGTGAGCGGAATGATAATAATGGTCGGCGTAAGTTACAGTCTCTGGAAATGGCTATTAGCGAACCGTGCAAATGTAGCAATTCGCGAGTCGCCGCAAAAACAAGTTATCATTCGGGAAATTACGATTCATCGCATTTAATGACATCGTTTCGTTTTTTATTTATTTTATTCTTTATTTATTTTCTACAATAAAACGAGGAATTATTTGCAAATAATATATTGGAAATTTTTAATAGATTATATCAATTTTTCGTTATACAAAATTTTATTTTAATCATATTTTTATTTTATAAAATTAAATTTTGTAAAAGTACATAAAAATTTATTATAAGAAAAGTAATATTATAAAGTATTTTTAATTTTAATTTGTTTTTTCAAATACATTTTTGAAAAAATAGAGCAAAAAATAAGTAACAAAAACATAATTTTTTGGCTTTTATATAAGATTGAAATATCATAAATATACATATTTATATTTAATATTAATCTTAATATAATTTTTCTTGCTATTTTTTCATGTTAATTTTCTAATGCTAATTGAACGTTATAAATAATTGATGCTATAAATATGAATAACAAGCTTCAAGGACTAAAATTTCATCTTCTTTTTTTATTCAAAATACGAAAAGGAGATATAAAACAATACGAATAAATAAAATCAAATTAAAAACGTAAAAACTTCCATGTAAAATATTAAATGATACGAGTTCAATTTTCATTTTTTGTAAAATTAAAATTTTTTAACTTTATCAATCTTAGCGCAATTGATCAATTGATCTATGCGATTTTCAAAGATTTTTAAATATATAATAATCCAAAATACGCAAATTGTTTGGACATTTTTGAGCAATAACGTATCTAATTCTTGCGCAAACATATGTTTTATAAAATTCTCCGCTCGTAAATGTAGAATCTCAGGAACGGTCAAGATTAAAATGATTTATTTCCGTGACGAAAATCCTCTGGAGGAAGTCATGCAATTAATTGCAAAATTATCACCGCATCTTTGCAACGTTGCTCGTAATAAAGCAGATAAATCGGACGAGCAGAACGCGAGGTAAAATCGTGCCGCTAGTTGCTGCAATCGTTGCAGATGAGCTCTCCGGATTGAGCAGCAGGATAATGATCTTTCCATCGTATTATCTTGATCCTAGCGGATTTCTTGTCAGAGAATGCCTTCCAAGTTCCAATTTCGTATAAATTATCGGCCTTTCCGAGATGTATTCTAAAACTGGCGATACGATTAGAAGGAAAGCGAGAAATGAAAATAATTTTTTCGTTTAAGATCGCTCCTTATCGCGAAAATTAATTTCATGGAAATTTATGTATTATTCGATACATAAATTTTTTCTAATTCTTCTTTTTTTTAATAAGAATTTGTTTTAAGAATAGAAATATCGGAAAATTTTTCTCGTTCGAAAAAAGAATTATCTTCGAGAAAATCAAGTTTGAAGTTTTGTCCAAATCGATACGAATCAATAGAAAGTTATTTTCTCTACGTGAATATAAGTATTCTATTCTATAAGTTTTCATTTTTAAAAAAAAATTTTCTCGAAAAGTAGAGTTGAAAAAATTCTATATTACATTTTTCGCTCACTTTTCTAGCAAAATAATTTCTTCTCAATCATCGAAATCGGTATTATTCATAGTTCAATTTTCTCGTAAACGTGTTTTCAAACAGGAAGATTTTATTCCATATTTTCGATTTATCTTTATCATCATGAATCACTGTTCTTCCCGCTCTAATTACACCAACTACGCTCTCTGAAATTTTTAAAAGCAGCTTTTACACGGCATTAAAATGTCGTTGTTTCTTGCGATCGGCAAAGATGAAACCTCGGGATTCAACGCGGGAGATAAATCGAAGATAAGGATCTTCTCTCGCAACGTTATCTTGATCCTCGCGGACCCGTTTCAGGAACGCTACCGAAGTTCCAGTTTTATGCAAATTATCGTCTTCCTGCCCGATCTCTTCTCAATTTTATCGAGAACACGGGACGCATATTTTTACGGGTTCTTTAAAAGCTGTCGTTTACACGGTTATAACAGTTGTAACCTTGTCGCGATCCTTTACGATGCAATCTTTAGATTTAGTGCGACGATAACCATACCACCTCCTCTCAATCCCGATCCACGTAAATCACTTTATACATTCTTTCTCTTACAAACTATCGTCATCGTAGTTTCTTCCCCAATCGTTTAATTAAATCGTCTAAATTAATATATTTATCAGGCTCTTATCCAAAAATAATCTTGTTGCAAATAACTAACACCTCGAATCTGTCTCTACTCCTATCTAATCTATATTCAATATTATACGTATTAATTCTGATAATCACCTTAAAAAGAGGACGAATCGAAGGTTATCGCGACATTGTTGCACGCGGATTATCCAAATTCGTGTATTTATAAGAATATCGTGCAATACTGGAAGAGCGTCGCAATTTCGCACGATATTTTTGCTTTCTCTTGACGAAAAAAAAAAAAAAAAAATAAAAATAAATACGAACAAGATCCAATCCATCTCTTCGGCGCATAAATACGTATATATTTAAAAAAAAGGAAGGAATGCGCTTCCATTTGCCTTTATCCTCGCGGAGAGCCACAAAGAAATTCCATTCCGCTCGTCGAAAGGTCAAGATCGGGTTATTACTTGGAGCGGAGCGCCAAGGGGGAGCAATTAATCGTGCAGCTATCGCGAGATATCTCCCGGAAGGAGGGCCCGGCTGGAATTTCACGCGAATCGCGCCGCATCGCGTTATTAGTCATCGAGATCCTCGAGATTCTCGCGGAAAGAGTGTGTGTAAGAGAGAGAGAGAGAGAGAGAGAGAGAGAGAGAGAGAGAGAGAGAGAGAGAGAGAGAGAGAGAGAGAGAGAGAGAGAGAGAGAGAGAGGTACGGTACGGTACGGTAC